GGCTCTCTGGGGGAAGAAAGTTGTATCACTGGGCTGATTATTAAATGACTATAACTGATTCTGGGCTTGATGTATGAAATGAATGTCATGCCGGTGCTGTAAGGATGCTGTAAGAAGCTGGTGTAACATGAAAAGCAGTACTTCAGAGGCATTACTGATGCTCAAATCTGGCAGGTATGTTCCTGGAGGTGTTTTTTTTTCCAGCTTTGCAATTGATTGACTTTCATAGACTTTTACTGAGTTACTAGTATTAAATTGCTGTAGTTCTCTTAAGAAAAAAATCAATGATTTACTGCTTGTACAAGGAACTGAGACTTTTGTACTGGAATTTGTGGAAATTAGAGAGGAATATTTTACTCTTGGCATTTCTGGCATGTGGCTCTGCAAACTCATTTCCAAAGTTTTGCCAAAGTCTGAAAACTATCAGGCAATAAATATGTGACAGTCAAAACAGAGCAACAAACAGAGACTGAAAGGCAGAATATTTTGTTACAAATTCTTGGAATACTGTGTCTTTCAGTCTTGGTCTCTTCTGAGCTGGTGCTGATGGGCTTAGCTTCTAAGGTACTTTTTCCCCTTTTTGGTCCACCCCAGTTGCCACCAAAATGGGTTGTAATTTCCTGACATAGGAGGTTCTGCCACCTTGAATGATTTATGTTTGTCATATTGGAATATGTTTGGATTCCTAAGTATACCAGTGCAAACAGTCATAAACTTCATGTATCACTAGGATCTTGTTGGATGTGAATGAATCTTTGTAAAACACTTAAAGGTGTTATTATTTATTTTTTTGCTGTGAAAGCTCTTATATTGCCAAGGGAGATAAAATGTCTTTTGTTCATTCTGGATGTTCTTCACAATATGAGTTTTTTGTGTGAGGTATTTTGGAAACTTACCTTTGGCAGCTGTGTTGCTTTTCAGAAACGAAGGGGAGAAACAGGATAGATCCTTCTAACCTAGTCTCATTTACCAGTAAAATCTGCGAGGAACTGTATTGTGAAACAATTCTACTTCTATATATATATTTTAATGGCAGTTGGTATTTTTCTTTTGTATTTGAATAAATATGTAGAAATAGGTTTTAACTGTAGTGTCCAAATAGCGATTTATTGATGACTGGACTCATTATTACAGTATTTTTCTTATAAGCCAGTTGATGTTAATATCTGAGTAAAGCAATTCTGCTTTTCTGATTTGTTTCTGGCTAACTGTTCAAAGCTGCTAGCTCTGCTTGCATTAGCAGAGCTTTAGGGTTATGTTTAAAAATGTGGATAATATATGTTATAACAGATAATATGTTACTCTCATAAAGCATGTATCAGGGATGAGAAAGATACTGATACTTTGGATTTGAAAGGCGTATCTTTTGCATTTCCTATGTTCAGGAACAGTTTGTCTCCATTAAATAAAAATAAAAAGGGGGTGAGGAAAAAGGCAAAACAGAAGAAGAATGGGGTTGGCTTTGCTGAATTTCAAAACCCTGCTTGGAGAAACCAACTGGGAGAGGATGGATATTGAAGACAATCATCTTTAAGACCATGCATAAGCAGTCAGAGACAGTTGTTGGGTAAACTGGCAAAGCGTGTTTCCTAGAAGACTTCACAGAACTGGAGCCTGGACAGATTAAGGCTTTTATTCACTGTGTCTAGATGGCTTGCACAAGCAAGCCATGCATAGGGAGATGGGTGAGGTAAGAACTGGGGGGCAAGTGGCTGCCTCTGAACTGAGTGTTTCCTCCTGGGACATTGTGACAAGCTGAAGTATTCTCTCCTCCTTCCCTCTGGTGTGTATCAAGGTGGTTATCTTTATGTGGCGTCTGAAGTGAGCGCAGGGATACTTGTTTCTTAGTATATTGAGGAGCTGTGGAGATGTATACAAAGTACAATCACATTGATACATAAAAGTATAGGGCTGGAAAGGTTCTACTGGTTCCTCAGGGCAGGCCTTGAGCAGCACTGACATTTCTCAGGACTTGAAAACTTACTGTGGCCTCTTTGCTAAAAGACATCTGTAAGAAGTCATGCTCAACATAAAACTGTCTAAAACCAGAGTGCGCAGCTCTGACGCAGACTATGACTCCTGTGGCTGCTTAAAAGGAAGAAGTGGTTGAAATCCATAGGACAGTGGTTGTGTAGATGCATATGTGTAGGTGAATAAAGTAAACTAATAAGCCTTGATGTGCTTTTCATAGTTAAGGTTTAACTTTTTTTTTTCTTTTTTTCATTCAAATTAGGTGTCTAACAAAACATTTGGTATTTAAAGAAAATAAGTAACAAGTCTGTATCTTCCTGCCAAATGTGTTACCAGATATCTTGGTTGAATAGCAAGCTACTGAAAGGGTATAGTTTTCTGAATTACTGAGGTTCTGCCATTTGATTTACATGCAGTACTTCAACCTTTGTATCCTTCTACAAAACTGCAAAACAGTGGAAGGGAAAAGAAAGTGAAGCAGTTCTGCTTCAGGAGGGAGCACATAGAAATAATATCGAGCTCAGGTTTGCCTTTGTTGCCTTTGTAACAGTAACTGTGTGATTTCAGCCTGGGCAGAGGGCTTTTTGGAGTTGGAAGGGACTTGCAGCCATATTTTCAATCTAGTGATTACTGATTTATCCTTTCCTCTTTGAGTGTGCTTAATGTTTGTCAGAGTAAATTTTAACTTGAATGTGGCTGGGAACAAAGGTGAAGCTCTCAGCTGTAAAAGGCAAGAAGCTCTGATGAATTCTACTTTGCTATTCCCACTGCTATTTGAGATAGCAAGGGTGATCTTTGGTTTTCCTGTGCAAGCTGCAGTGTAGATGTATCCTCAAACAGCTCTGAAATGAAAAGGTTCCTTTTCTGTTACAGTAACTTTTATCTTCCTAGAACAGTTCTGTTCCACAGTGTAAGTAAGTGCATATGCCATGATGTTAGGGTAGTGTGTGTGTTACCATAGTGAATGGAAAAACAACTCTAGCAGGTTTTGAGGAGCAGTATGTTAGGCTTAGATAAGTCTTACAGCAGATGACCTCCTTGTGTCCATGCAAAAAAAAACCCACAACCCAACCTGGCAAGCACCCAGATCTTCTTTTATGGCTAAGTATTGTCTACACGCTGTCTGGCAAGAAGAATTATTACAATGAGAGGATATAACTGTTTATCTAATCTTGCTTCTTTGCAGCCTTATGTGGTTTTCCTGAGCCTAGATTCACCTTTGTATGACCATTGACCTCTGTTAGCACAGGGAGTAAGGCATTGGGGACTGTTGAGCTGTACTTCTGTAACTGGTAAACCTATTGTGCTAGCTAGAATGAGGGGGTTTTGAATAATTTCTGCCCCAGAGCATTTGTTGCCTGGGAAATTTCGTGGCTCTGCAGTTAAGCAGGAGGATTTCTGTGGGACAGTGTTAGAGGCTGTTTCACAGAGCATGCATTCATCTGTGTGCACAGGGTCAGTGTGAGATTTCAAATCTGGTTAAGACCTTTTTAAGCTTCTTGGGCTTAACTGCTGCAGAGATTGTTGTCTTGCAAGTGAGGGAATTTGGCATGGTAAGAATAGTGTGTAAATTATTTTTTCAGGACGTTTTCGGAGGAGGCTGGAAAGTTGTGTTGATTTGTGGGGTTTTTTATTTCTTTATTTTACTTTGTGGATATTTTGTTTTTGAAGGGATACAATGACCTGCTGCTGTCTGGGAAATGTGAGCTGGAATTTTGACACTTTTGGATGCAAGTCACTTAAGACTTGGGATTACATTGTGAAAATAAGCAGGATCTTTATAGGTTTCTTTGGAATAATGAATGCCTTCTACCTCTTTTTAGTAGTTTTCCGTATTGAGAAGGGAATAATGTGTTTGTACTCGTAAATATTGTTCTGGTTTGTTTGCCAGGGTGACCTGAAGATTTCTCATAGTTTCAGACTTCGAGAACTCTGAAAAAAGCATCATCACAAAGCCTTGACTGCCACCCCAATACTTTGTTTTTTTGCTAGTTGAAAGTTGATTTAATGGTTTCCTGACTCTTTTCAGTGTGCAAAGAATTTGTTGTGGCTACCTAATGATGAGGGAAATCTAACTCTTTGAGTTAGTGTTTTTCTCAGTTTTGGAAACTGAACCGTACAGTTTTTGTTTTGGTTATATTGGTTGGTGTTTGTGGATTTTTTGTTTTGGGTTTTTATAGCCTTTTTAGGTTTGAAAAACTCCTGAAGTTTAACTGGTTCTCCTGGGCTGTAAATAGAATGTTATCACCAGCTTCAGATGCTTCCCTTCAGGGATTTCTTATGGTAGTAATTTCCAGTATAGCTTGGGGAAATTGTGATAGTGGATGGGTACCTAAAGTGAAAATCTGGGCTGGGTTGCTTTCTTCCAGCTGTAGGTGAACATCTCTTCCTCCAGGGAGTATGGAAGCTCTTCTGGAGTCTACAGAGGCTCACAGAAACCCAGTAAATTACCTTGGAGCTTTTTGCTCTTTCCCTGTGTCACATCTGTTTCCTTTCTTTCTGCAGAGAAGAGTGTAAATGTGATGATGTGTTGCTATTTTGCAGCCCATGTTTTCTGGAATTTCTGGGATGCTCACGGTGACTGTTCTGAAATTTGCACCAAGAGGTACTGAACTGTGTAGCTGAGTCTGTGTTCTTTCATTCCATGGTTTAGGATAAGAACTGAACTACGGAAATAGACATGTGTGGGCGCTTTTGGGCAACTGGCTCAAGGTGGCCCTGCTTGAGCAAAAGGGTTGGACAGTGTGACCTCCAGATGTCCTTTTTGACCTCTGTGTAATTCTGAAGAATTGAGTCCTTGTGTAGTTGAATAGTGGTAGATTTAAATGAATGCAGGCATGCAAGGAATATAATATTGTGCAAGTGAGATAATTATGTAACTGTTCTGAGGAAAAATTAATCATTTTTACCTTTAATTGTGTTGATGATGTCTTGATATTCCTGATGAAGTACCAGGCACCGCTCTCAATATGTGTTTTTGCTCTCTTTCAGGTAACTGAGAATGGGTCCTCAATGATGCTAAGTTTACAATGGGAAGTGTCACACTACGCTATTTCTGCTATGGGTGCCTTTTCACATCTGTGACCTGGACACTTCTGCTCTTTGTGTATTTCAACTTCAGTGAAGAGAACCAATCCTTCAAGAATGTGCCCGTCAAGGGGCTAGAACCTCAGAGGCCATTTCCAAAAAAATTCTACCCTCGTTTTACGCGGGGGCCAATTCATATACCTGAATTGCAACAGAAAGAGAATAAGATAGGAAATGCCCTTGGAAATCATGTCCAGGACCCAGTCAAGGGGGAGGTTGAATTCTCTCCTGAAATGGGTAAGTGGTGTTTAGTGTTAGTGGCAACTTATTAAAAGGGAAGAAAAAATGAGATATAGAGTGGGTTTTGTTGTTGTGTATTTGTCTTAAGGATCTTAGAGAAAATCGTATCGTGAAATTGAAGGTTGGTTTGTTAAAATGCATGTGGTACTAGTGGCTCTCCTCATTAGGAATTACTTGAAATTTATTCTACTGCATTTAATCTGAAATATACCATTCCTGACATTTAGAGCTGTGCTGTGTAAATGCTAATGAGGCGGACTGGATTACAGAAAGGTGTCTACCCTTGATATAATTCTTCCTTTTGGAAGGTTCAGTGTATGCTTGTTTCATAGTTTACTGCTATATTGATTGGGCTCAAATACATAAACATTAATTAGCTATTGAGACACTGTTCATATGCAGTAGTTAAAAATAGCTTGATAGCAACATATAGTGAAGAGTAGCCATTGATTTGGAGAATATCCTTGAAGCATGAAATCATGTACAAGAAATGTGTGTGGGATGAAAATGCAATGAAAGATTGATTGAGATGACAGTGGTTAGGGCCAAATCCTGTTTAATTTGTACCAACAAAAGTCTGTGTGTTTCATTGGAGCATATTTCATCAATGAGATGATTTGATTTTGTCTTCCAAACTTGCCTTCCAAACTAAAATGCTTTGTATATTCAACTGCTTACAGCTTGTTCAGCGCTGTGTTCAGATGTGCAAACTGAGGCATGTTGCATACTGGCTTGCAAACTTGCTTTAAGTTTGGGGGCAGATGCTGTTATTGGTTTCTGCTGCTGCTTTGGGAAATAAGGCATAGAGTTTAACGCTTATATCTGACTCAAGTCCTCTGTCATTACTTTGGATGATTGGCAGATCAAAAGCTTCAAGAGTTTATAGGACTTTACCAAACTACAGTTTCTTAGTTGACCTGTGTGAATATGTAGGAAAAATGCCAATTGCCCTGTGGCATTACAAATGTTTATCATGATTGCTAAGTGAGGTGAAGGCCACTCCAGAGATGGCCATTTCTTTCCAACTATTCAGTATGGTCCAGGAAAGAAACTGGAGCTTTTTAACTGAAAGGTCCCTTGATCTTCAAACCAAGTGACTGGTTTGGTTGGTGAAAGCCAAGGGGAATTACAGTGCCAAGATAAATTTTGCATGAATCATCAGGAGACAGCTGGCTCTGTTAGAACTAGATCAGGTGCTGCAGGAAAGGGCTTCCTGTCTATCTAGGGTAGGGCAGTGAAAAACATGCAAAGCAAAAATAAATGAAAAGAAAGTTGGCGTGTGATAGCCAGAAACAAGCTGTCATCTGGTAGGGCAATCTATCTCTTTTATTTCAGTCTGAGAGCCACATAACACTGCTGAAGTAAAGCCTAAAGTGATGTTTTGATTGCAAAACTCTTTATTTTTCAAGGACTTTTATCTGCTGTTTGAACTGAAATCTTTCAGGCCTTTTGCCTCTGTTTTTGGATATTGTTCTTTATGAGAACATTTGAAAAATACTAGCACCCCTTCTTATCCATATCCAGAAGCGAACAGTAGTTAGGGGTTGGATATGGGTGGAACGTAGAATGAAACATTTGGTATGTGCTTCTTGAGCTTGTGCTTCATATGAAGAAAATGTTTTAAGTTGACACCATGACACGGTGTTACTCTGGCGCTGAGTATGCAAGAATGATAGAGCAGGGTGTCTGGAAATCTTACTTGGAAATGCACATGGTTCAGGGGAGGACTGACTCTACTCTTTAGATTGCTGGTGCTGGAAGAGTGTCACTGCCACTGTAAACACACCTCATTTCTGCCGCCACCATGCAACTTATCTGCAGTGGGAGCACTTATCCATGAGCATGATAGGCAGTCACAACAAGGCACACTATGTGGGTGTATCCTTCATTTTCTGCATATATTGCTCACTGTCCAGTGGTTCCCACTTGCTCCTGCATAAACGTCAAGTCATCTACTCTTGAGGTGTTTGATAGTGCAGCTGCATTGCCATTGCTGTATTCAAGACTAAAAGTGACAGGGTGGTAAATGTGATGAGTGGGAATGTGGATGCACAGGATTCCCTCTAGAGGGTCCTCTTGCACCTATAGGTAGACTTTGTTGCTGAAACACCACTGCTCTGAAGGCCAACAGGACTACTTGTTTGAAAAGGAAGAAAGCCTTAACACTTTTAATAATCTTTTCTGTTATGTTTTTTAACCCATCTCATTTTCCCTGGGCTTTTGCATAGCTGTTGAAAACTGGAGAGCATGAGATCAAGAAAAGCTGAGAGGATTTGGTTTATTCTGCCTTAGAGAGAAAGCTGAGGGGTGAGATTTTATTGCTGTCAACGGCAGCTTAATGGAAAGCTGTAGGGAAGACGGAACCAGACTTTCTGGAGGTGCATGGGGTTTATGGTAAAAATTGGAGTGAGGAGGAGATTTCAGTTAGGTAAGAGGAAAAACATTTTTAGTGTGAAGTTGGTCAAATGCTAAAATAGGGAAATGAAGAGGTTGTAGAATCTCCATCCTTGGAGAAACTGGAGGCTTTCAAAACTTTAACTGCACAAGTTCTGAGCAACCTTATCTAGTTGGACCTGCTTTGAGCAGGTTAGACCAGTTGTGCCTTCCAGCATGAATTAGTCAGTGATTCTGTGAAGCATACTATCCTGGATGTATGGTAGCATGTGAATGAGGAACCCCTTTGTTAATTAGTTTCTTCAGATTTTGAGTCAAATGGAGATTATGAGCAGAGTGGAAGAAGATAAATTACCTGATCCTTGCTTGCTTCTTGTACTGAAATTTCGGTGAAATTGACACTGTAGCTTGATAATAGCTGGAGAGGACATACACATCTCATTCTGTACAGCCAGCTGAACAGAGACAATAAAAAGTCTTTGCTCTGCTACCTGGATTATTGCAGAAGTGGCTGGCAGGCACACTTTGCTCCTCTCCCTCCACTTTTGCTGTAGAAGAGTTGAGTGAAGTACCATAATATTTTATTTCTCTTCACACTGGTGAGTTTATGGCCCAGTGGGAGAGAAGCCCATGGCACTGAGGCAAGGCAGGCAGGATGGGACTGAAGATTTCATCTTGGCCTCTGACAATGCACTTATACTAGCCATGCTCAGCAACAGTTGATGCTTCTGTTAAAATAGTCAAGAGAGAAACAGCTAGCTCTGTTGCTGTTTTACTTGCTGTCAAAGTCCCAGGGGAGATAAACATGAAGTTTATAGTTCTTTCATAGCTATTTTTATGGTACTGCAACTTTAGAAAACTTCATGAAACTGGAGTTGGTATTGTGAGGGGTTTTCTACCACTGTAAATCTGTTTTCCTCTCTCAAAAATCATATGACAGACCCTTCATCTGTATGGATAGGTGCTGCTGTGTTGTGTGCTAAAGTCTATATTCTGTTGCTTGTTTGATGTTGGTTTTTAGGTGGTGTTAAGAATTAGATGACATTTAAATGACGGGCATGTGTCTGGTAAGACAATAAGCACAAGGGAGCCGCCAGTCTTTGGAGAATGATTTCATTTTATCACAGCTGCAATGAATACTACAGGTAGTACTCATAAGTTGTACGTATTTGTGAGAAGTAACAAAAATAGTTGCATAAAAATACACTTTGCAAAACCAGAGGGATTTTTGATGAATGTGGTGTGGTTTAGGGAAGATTAAAGCATACATTTCAATTCTTGATTTTTTCCAAAGGAAAATTTTGAGCTTGATCTTGATGTGTTTCTTCTGCAGGAATGATTTTTAATGAAGAAGATCAGGAAGTAAGGGACTTGGGCTACCAGAAGCATGCTTTCAATATGCTTATCAGTAATCGACTGGGATACCACAGGGAGGTGCCTGATACAAGAGATGCAAAGTATGTACTATTTTTTTTCTTTCAGAGAACATGGTATAATTTCATATGCTCAAGGACTTGTTACTCATGTTATACCTAATGCAGTTTGTAATGTTTTAGGTGCTACATTTCTGTTAAACTCTTTCAGCCTCCCATGTTGCTGAAGGCAGATTTTCAGCTATTTAAACAGGACTTCTTTAAACAGGATTTTTTAATCCTTTAAACAGAGTTTTTATCCTTTGGTCTTTTCTGCCTTTTTTTGACTGAATGTTGTTTCTGGAGGTCTGATTTTTTTTTTTTTTTTTTTTCCAGATAGAAGAGGTACGTGCTAGATAGGTAAAGCCCCAGAGAAACAAGGCTCTGTGAAAGAAGAAAGACTGCTACTCCCTGATAACAGATGTTTTTCCTGATTCTTAATTCACTTTAAGAATGTTTAATGAAGAACTGGACTGGATAGACATTTATTCAAACTTTTAACATGAATTTAATTATTGTGAATAGTAGGATTGGCAGACAACTATTCTGAAAAAAACAACTGCTGTAACAACAATAGAAAAAACAAAACCAGAAACTAACATTGAGTTGAAAAATAAATAGACCTGCATCTGGTTATCTAATGGTTTCTCTGGTGTGGACAAACGTAGTGAATTGAAATTGCTGAAATGTCTCTTCCAAAAGCTGACTTTGTTCCAAGGCAATTCAAATTCTTTTTGTGTACTTTTGGTTTTTCATTTGTAGTTTCTTATTTTTAATTTTATTTTCTCATGCCTGGCATCTTTGTGTGGTATTAATCTGTGATACTGTGTTCTGTTAGAAGTATGGACAAAATTTTGGAGACAAGGATAAATAATGATGTCCTGCTTTGAGTGGGATTCAGCTTGCAGATTAAGATGCTTGATCTTGGACAACTGCATGTTAGTCAGTTGTCTCTGCTTTTATTATAATTAGCAAAGATCCAGGCAACGCAGTTAATGAAGCATGCAATGCTATTCAGCTGACAAAATGCACTTTGTTGGCTTTAGGGTGGGCTAAATCTACACTCGCCCGACAGCAGAGGCTAGACGTAAGCATCTTAATCTTTGTGCTGAATCCCAGCCTTGCTTGTCTGGATAGGTATTTAACACCATTGGAGGTATTCTGGGATAGCCAACCTGTTCCTGAGCAGCTGGCCAGTAAAGCTGTGGGGTTTTTGTAGCACTCATATCATATTTGTCATTCCTGTACATGTCTGAGCTGTCTGAGGGTACTGGGTAGTGTTTTGGCAGCTGAAACAAGCACTTGGTGTTTTTTCTTGTCTGCGTCTTGAGGATCTGTGGTTTTTACTTTTACTTCAATCTGTGATATCCTCTGTTTTCTAACAACTGGAAGTGTTGATTATAAGTCTGCATTATGTGGAGGATAACTTACTGTGCTGAGCCCTACTATAGGTGTTATACACCTGAGCTCTTAATATTCAACAAGGGCAAGTGTAGAGTCTTGCATCTGGGGAAGAACAACCCCATGTACCAGTACAGGTTGGGGGCTGACCTGCTGGACAGTAGTGAAGGGGAAAGGGACCTGGGGGCCCTGGTGGACAGGAGGATGACCATGAGCCAGCAGTGTGCCCTTGTGGCCAAGAAGGCCAATGGCATCCTAGGGTGCATTAGAAAGGGTGTGGTTAGTAGGTCAAGAGAGGTCCTCCTCCCCCTCTACTATGCCTTAGTGAGGCCACATCTGGAATACTGTGTCCAGTTCTGGGACCCACAGTTCAAGAAGGACAGGGAGCTGCTGGAGAGAGTCCAGCGCAGAGCCACAAAGATGATTAAGGGAATGGAACATCTCTCTTATGAGGAGAGGCTGAGGGAGCTGGGCCTCTTTAGCTTGGAGGAGACTGAGGGGTGACCTCATCAATGTTTACAAATATGTAAAGGATGAGTGTCGGGATGATGGAGCTAGGTTTTTTTCAGTGATGTCCAGTGACAGGACAAGGGGCAATGGGTGTAAACTGGAGCATAGGAGGTTCCATGTGAACATCAGGAAAAATTCCTTTACTATGAGAGTGACAGATCACTGGAACAGGTTGCCCAGGCGGGGTGTGGAGTCTCCTACATTGGAGATATTCAAGACCCGCCTGGACAAGTTCCTGTGTGATGTACTCTAGGTTACCCTGCTCTTGCAGGGGGGTTGGACTAGATGATCTTTTGAGGTCCCTTCCAACCCTTAGGATTCTGTGATTCAAGTTAGTGATTTTTCCTATATATTTAATGTTTGCTTGTTATTTATGAAGTTTCAATAGAGACCTAGCCCTATGGAAATCTCACTAAAAATAAAGTGATAACTCCTGTATCTCTGTTTGCAGATGTAGAGAGAAGTCCTACCCTGCTGATCTGCCATCTGCCAGTGTTATCATCTGTTTCTACAATGAAGCGCTTTCTGCCTTGCTTCGCACAGTGCATAGTGTTCTGGACCGCACTCCTGTGCATCTCCTTCATGAAATTATTTTGGTGGATGACAACAGTGAATTGGGTAAGAGAACCTGTTAGTAATATTTTTGCTGGGTGCTTAAATTTCACCTTATTTCTTCTGGGCTTTATTGACTTGTCAAAACAAGAGTGTAGAAGCTATGATGCAAAACCAATTTGTACTGCGGACCATCTCCAAAAAGTGCCACCTGGTAGAGATGCATGATGTTCTGAGAAGCCCAAGATGACATCCCCATTCACAGCTGAGCCATCTTACTGATGAGCTTTATTTCATACAGAATTTAACGTTCAAACCCAGGTTTTGAAGCTAATAATGAGCAGAGTGTATTTGCAGAGGGGGTGATTCAAAGCCAGGTTGGATGGGGCTTTGAGCAACCTGGTATAATGGAAGGTGTCCCTGCCCATGGCAGGAGGTAGGAACTAGATGATCTTTAAGGTCCCTTCCAACACAAGCTGTTCTATGATTAAGCAGTTGTTACAGTTTAGTTGTTTAACAGTACTTTGTTTAGGCGGCTTTGCTGCTTAGAAGGCATTACACTGATCTTTCCGTAAGCTTTGTGGGCCAGTACTAACTGTGAATGCATCTGAAAGGAATTAAATGCACGTAGTCCCAGCTGCGGTTTGCAAGTAAGTTGATATGGCACTATGGAAACAGTGCATTGGTTTTTTGTACTTGCTCAGCATTTCGCCTGGTGGGATGGTTGGGTCGGAGCTCAGCCTTTGCAGAGAGGGCTTTGCATGGCTCTCGCACAGCCTCTTGTGGCCACCCTAGGAGTAGCTGTCCCTCGCGTTCGGGTGAGCAGATGCTGCTCCCTCATTCTGGGAGGGGCCCTGGAGGGGTAGGCTTTGCAGAATTGCTTTACTGTTATTGAAAGATTGACGCTTCAGCATTTTTCTCTCGGATGATGGACAAGGTAGGACAAGGTAAAGACAGACACGTAATTCAGGCGTTTTGGCCCTTCGAAAGCTAAATTCCTGTTGAGGAATGTGTTAGTGTAGCAGTACTTGCCAGCAGGATTATGCAAGTTCCCTGCTTCCCTCTGTACAAGTCCAGAACCCTGCATTTTAAAAATTATTTATATATGTTAAAATGATATTTAATATATATAATTAGCTCTCTTGCTCTCATTGTTTGTTTTCTGGGTTAAGGTGTCACTTCTCTAAGAGACTGATTAGATATGTATAATGTGGAATGAAATTCTCCTGTTATACACCTAGTTTATTTCTCTAAGGTCAGATCAAATATAAAGATACAGGACAGGACACAGATCAAACGCTCTGTCCCTTGCTGATAAGGATATGTAACATTTTAAAGCTTGTTTTGTTGGTTTTGGTTTTGGAAGCAGTATGCATTCTTTGCCACAAAGTCTCTTGTGCTATTTGTTGTTTAAAAGTTTCATAACCTTCTTATTCAGAAGTAAGCTTACTTCACAACTCAGTCTTTTGAATGCATTTGGTTAATGCCTGTGTTTAGCCAGTAATACCATCACTCTAATGGTCTGTTGCTAATTTGAAGGCCAAATTAGCTTCAGAATATTTGAATAGCTACCTTTGCATTTCTGACTTCTAATGAACGTGTTTTGAAGCCGAAGATGGGAGGAGATGCTGTTTATATAGAGAATTACTGCTCTTGATGATGATAATGATGATGATGACACTACTGATGTGTACACTGCTGCTTAATTTTAGTGGATGGAATTTTACAGCATAAGAAAGGCAAAGCTGGTTTAGTGACTGAGGAAATGGACAAATACTTTGTGCCATGGCTCTTGTGAGCTTGGGGAAATTATTTAATCTCTATGCCTCTTTGATTTTATTTTCAATTCAATTTTCCTATGTTGCATGCTTCCTGAAGTGCCAGCTTAGATGAAATTCTATTTCTTTAGCTTTAAATATAGGAGCTCTGCTACATGACAGTGCTGTTGTGCAAAGCTCGGCTCTTTGCACCTAGTTTTGCCTCAAAAAGCCTCTTACACTCAATCATCAACAGTCTTACTAGCTAAGCAGGCATTTCCATAGCTCACCTCAGCCCACTGTTACATTTTTCTTTTCTGCAAGGCAGTGCATCCAGTTTCTCCCTGACAGGGGCTTTACCCATCCTAGGTCTCGCTTGTTTGGAGGAGCCTTTGTTACACAGATATGGACCAAGATATAGCTAAAGTAAGTTTTGGAGACTGACTAAAAAGGAGCAGTTCTCTCCTTGGAGCAAGATTTCTCAGGCAGTCTGTATTGAAGCAGTTTTTTAGATTATGTCAGAAGAAATCAGTCTTGCCAGTTGGCATGAATTGCACAAAGCCCCATCAACAACAAAAACCCCAAGAGGTGTCTGAGACTAAACTGCCTGTTGAGAATGATCCATGATATATTCAGTCCTGGGGCACAGTTTCCAACAGAACGCTAGCTTGTCCAGGTCAAAATAGTACTCTGACAGCATGTTAGCCATTAGGTACTACTGGCGGTTACATTCTGCTGCTCAAGCCCATGTTGTGGGCCTGGTTTAGCTAACAGTATGCATTCCCTTTCTGCTGTTTTCAGAAGTCTGCACACGCAAAACTATTTCTTCTTGTATTTTATGTCTTTTCATGCAGCCTTATCTGCACTAAATGCTGAGCTTGGTAATTGGCCTCTTCTGCTTTGTGCTAGCCCTTTGTTTTGTGCAGTGTACACTGTTCTTCCCTTGCTGTGATATATTGGATGAAGAATGAGTCAAACGCTAGTTTTAGGTTTGCAAATCCTTCTGTCCTGCTTATTTGGACATCTTATTTGGGTAGCATCCCAGAGATGACATTACTTCAGCAACTTTTAGGAGACTCTCTAAAAAAGGAGATCTGTTGACTCTAGCATTTGATATCACATCGAGCACTGGAGGAGAGAATTCCTACAACCCAAATGAATCCTGTCTACATCTCTCCATAAACTTTTCTTTCTCCTAGAATGTTCTCTAGCATTGTACTTGCTGTTTGGTACCTTCTCATTCTTCATCCACGATTCCACAGAGCAGAGGTTGAGATCTTAAGATTTGGAGTTGCTTCTGGGAAGCTCTTTTTCAGTTTTCCTTCCTGAAAGCTCTTGTAGCTCCTGAAGGTTACAGCTCTAGCTTCCGCATATATTCCTTTCACATCTAATGTTGTTAACAGAAACTTTAATGTTAGAACTGACATTCATCAGAATAATATTTATTCCAGCAAAGCCTCTACTGAATGTCTGTCTGCCTCTCTATACCAAGGTTCTCTGTGAAGTCTCAGCTGGCTTTTTGTTTTTCTTCCTCATTTTATATTCCCCTTTATTTCTCTATAAGCTCATTAACTTATGTTTTTCCATTACTTCAGCCTTCATGTGTCTATCTTCTCTTCAGTGGTTCTGCTTTAATGTTAGAAACCACTGTCCTTGGGTGAAGGAAGTATTGTTACTCTTAAAATTGCTGTGGTGTTAGTTAAGTTACAGTAGTGCCTATAGACTTCAGTGAACTTTGCTCTCCTTCAAAAGCACGTGCTTGCCAGCAGTGTTTTTGGTCCTTTTGGATCTTAGAAAAGCAGCCGCCTGTGAGTGAGTTGTACTTTGTATCTGCTATTGTATCAGCTAAGCAGGTACAGGTAATGAAAGGTGTCTTTGTGCTGCTTTAAAGGTGTTACTGTTTATTTTCACGCATAGAACATAGTCGTTTAAATTAGTTGCCTGTGTGAAAGGGCTTTCATTACCTCTGCTGTAAAAGAATGTCACCATGAGAAGAATTTGGAAATGCTATTTCTTTGTACAATGTCTTTTATTTTAGTAGCAGTAATTTCCTTTAGCATAGAGTCTGGTAGTTCCAGTTACCTTGAGTCATGCTGTACTAAAGGCTTTGCAAACAGAACAAAAGAAAATAACAATCCAGTCTGTATTCAGGAAACCAAGGCCAAGTGTAAAACCCAAGAAAGTGGCAGCACATAGTTAGTTGGGAAAATATAAGGAACTGCATATTGGCAGGAATGGGCCCCATAGAAGGCCCAGCCCAATGGTACGTCACCCTCTTCAGTGCAGGGTATGTACCTGCTTTGTCCATGTTTCCGCAATACAGCAGGAAAAAGTAAAGCAGTTAATAGAAAAATGTGTGAATAAAAACACACACACACAAAAACCCCAAAAGCCACAGGAATTGGAGGGCAGGTGCGGCATGTGGGATGACTGTCCTTTTGGTACTCTTGGTTTTAAGCTGTGCTGTATTGTGGTAGCTTTTTGATGGAAGTTTTTGGCCCTTTGAGTAGAGCACTTTAGGACTTTAAACAAAAGCATTCACAATTTCCATCCTGTTGTTGAACTTCTGTTTTCTTTTTCTCAGCTGACTTGAAGAAAGACTTGGGTGAATATGTTAAAACTCAGCTTCCAAAAACCACAAAATTGGTAAGAAATGAGAAGCGGGAAGGCTTGATTCGAGGAAGGATGGTCGGAGCCTCTCATGCCACAGGTATACTTCCTTGTTTCTCTTTTTCTTGCATACTTTGACCATAGGTTAATTGGGTGACTTCTCTTTATGTAATGCAGCTTTTCCAGATATTGAATGTTTGACCTGTGATTGCTTTAGCCCACTGTAGGGACTCTGTATGGCATGCTACACAACTTAGCTCAGGGAAAGAAAGATTTGGGTCAGTGAAATAATAAAACAAAACCAATATTTGACAAAACTTATAGTAAGGCAATGTAGAATTTTCCCTATTCCTGCCCTGAAGGAATGTTGTGTTGGGAACATCTCCATCTGCAGTAGATAGTGTGTTCACAGATTATTTTCTGCATGTTTCATATGAAAACTGTTGCTCTAAAATGGCAATGTGCTTCGTTATTAAGATACACTAATCGGGTTTCTAATTTGCCAGTCTAACGTTTCTCATACAAGCTTTCCTGGTGTTGCAGGGAGTGTTAGTTGGGATAAACAATATTTGGTGCTTTATGTACACTGTATGCCTTTTACTGTACTGTGCTTCCAGTTAAATTCTTTGGTGTCTGAGAAAGTATGTGCTACTTTCTCACATAATTTTGAGTGGCAGATAAGTCTCTTAATTGGTGTTTACTCATTAGCATTGTAATGGCATAATCCAGAGAGAAAATTGTGCTTGCATTTTCCAGGCTGTGCTGGATTAATTTGAGTTAGTACAATTTTAAGTTATTTTATTGCTCTTCTAAACTGCTGGTGTGTTTCAGGATTGTTTTCTTTAAAGCTCTTTCCCTTCTCTTCCATGTTATTCTAGTGTTACATGTGTTTTATGTTGAGTCATAAAAGTTCAGATGACTTTTTAGACCAATTGAGCATGAAGGTGGATCAAACTGTCCTCTCTGACGGTGGTGGATAATTCCCATGTAAACTGATCGGAAGTGTTGCTTGGTCTAATACTGGTGAATCTGGCTGTGCCCATTTAGGGCATTCACTATCCTTTTAATCCACAATCATTCCAGAGCTAATGAGATGAGGAGATACTCTGTGTTACTTTATGTTCAGGAATTGAAATGTTGTGGCCTGTGTCATGAATGAATGCAGATTAATTCATCAGAATGACTTGACTTAAAATACACAGGTCTTAGCTGTGACAGTAACTGGATGGGTGCTGAAGTGTGATATGAAGTGAGCCCAAGGCAAATTACATTTAGTGGACAAAACAGCCTTGTCATGGAGATTCTGCCTCCAGCCCAATATATGTAATCCTAGGCTATCTCTGTAGCCTAAGTCAGGCATAGGAGGTGCTCTGCATTAGCACAAATGCACCTCCTGGCTCTTAGAGTTCTGGTCTGATGATGCTTCATTTAAAGTACAGTAGCTCTGCAGAATCTTTGTAGAAAATCTGATAAATATAAAACCCTGTCAAAGAAATACAAATAATGGCCCACTAGAGCATTTCATAGTTAAATGTGAATAGTCAGCATCTACCTTCTGCCTTTGTGACTGTACCAGTCACTGTAGAGTCCTTGGTTTCTCAACGCTTTCCAAGTGCAGATGGTCTTTCCCCTCTGTTACACTGGCTGCTGAGGATGCTGCCAATACTCTGCTGCTAATATAACTACATATGTGTTTGTGTGTTTCATGTTACCATGGATCTTTGTTTTGTGTGCTTTGGCCTCTGTAGGGAAAGTGCTGGTATTCCTGGACAGTCACTGTGAGGTGAATGAGATGTGGTTGCAACCTCTGCTGGCTCCCATCAGAGAAGATCACAGGACTGTGGTGTGCCCTGTAATTGACATAATCAGCGCTGACACACTTACCTACAGCTCTTCCCCAGTTGTGCGTGGAGGGTTTAACTGGGGCCTGCACTTTAAGTGGGATCTTGTTCCTTTGTCAGAATTGGAAGGACCCGAGGGAGCCACAGCTCCAATCAAGTAAGGTTCCTCCCATGTGGGGGAAGCTCTGTGTAACATGCGGAGAACTTCTTAATTGTTACGGAGCGTTATCTGGGTGTGCAGTTTTAGAAACAGATACTTAACCTGTCAGATATCTGACCTTGTTTATTTTACTTTGAAATAGTTTTGGTTACTATTACGTGTTTCAGTTTAATTTTTCACATTTAATCACAGATCAGATATATCTGTCTTCTTAAGTCAAGGAAGTACACTTTTAGAGAAAGCTTATACAACAGCAGCTTTTGCTAAGACAAAAGTCTTAAGGAGCTAATGCTATTCTGTATTAAATCTGTCCAATAATTTAACTTTTAAGCTCTGTATTGATGTTTGTTTCCAGTCTGTCTGTTTGGCGTAATGATGGTTTTGATAACTGTCTTTGTGCTAGTAATAGCCTACATCCCACTACTACAGGCTCCATAATTTCTGTGGTTAAATGCTAAAGAATTGATAGATTAGGAAAATATATTTTTTGTGGGGGAGAGAACATCAGAGCATATGGTAATTTTCTATGTAAAAATATTCTTTTTCTTCAGATTTCATTTATATTTTTCACCAAACAGGAATTATTTTGTCATAAAGCTTTCTAAATGAACACACATGGATGTGAAAACCATTTAAAAATATGATTTGTCTCTTTGCATGATGTGGCAAATACCTAAAACTGCCTGTTGGAAGCCTGTGCATGTTGTTTTTACCATCTTTTGAGAGTCATTCTGGAACAAAAGGCTTGTAAAAGCTTGACACTAGAACTTGAAAGTTACCTTCCTTCATCTTTTAACCACTGCTGGCTGTCTTGCCTGTACTGAACTGGCAGTATCTGGTTCCTGGTGGACACGTAGCTGTTACAAAATGATGTCAATAGACACCTTCTATTTTTTAGTAACAGATACATACGGTTCAGACTTGAGAATGGAAGCTGTCCCAGTGCAAATCCCTTCACAAAAAGGGCCAGTGCTGGCAGAGCAATGCAAGAAGCTGTTTGTGCTTTTTCTAGTTGCAGGAATCTATCTCGGTATAGAATTCACAGAATAGGTTTGTCAGGTGGAAGAACTTCTTACAAACGGACTCCTTGCAGATAATGTGGTGCTTCTATAAAATTTGCAAAGTGAATCAGAATTGGGCAGTCTCATCTTTTTCATTCTCTTTTCTTGGACTGTAAATGAAGAGCATTTCAGGCTGATGCAAGCAGCTCCAGCACAAGGTTCTGTGTTGTTCTCTGACAGTTCTGCAGTTAGTCTTTCCACGTCTACCCTTTCCACATCTACCCATCAAAAGATTTGGTCTGAGAAGCCAGGAAACTTCTTGAGTTACTTAGCAGTTTGACTGGCTTGTTTGGAAAGTGTCACTGTAGCAGTTTCTGAAGCAAGAAGCGAAAGGACAGGCCAGGAAAATATGAATGGGGAATCGGCATATAAATCCTTATTCTGTTAAGAACTGTTCTCACATCTAATCTGATCTATGGCTGAAGGTTATAGTTCCTGCTTGTGTTCAACACTGTTGCATTCCTTCAACTCACTTTTAGGAAAAACTCCCAGGAAAAGGCAGAGAATTTTATAGTTAGTCTAATAATTTTGAATGATTACTTTTCTTTGAGTACAGAACTGACTTTTCCAACTTAGAGGTCTCTGCCTGCTTTGAAAAAGAAGCTAGATTGCTATTTAATCTTTGCAAATGGCTTTCCATTGAATGGAAATTCTTACATTTTAAAGACCTTCATAATGAAATATTTTGGTGTCAGGGATGAAAAACTTGAGAGCAACCTTTCAACGCGTGTTTTAAAGTGACAATCTGTAGAAGAAAATTGTTGAGCACAAGCAAGGATTTTATTAATGAGGATGAGAAAAAACCTGTTCCCCATCCATTGTATGTTCCAACTAGTATCTTTATGTAGTGTTTTTACTTGTTTTCTTCCCCCCTTCTAGAGCATCTACTTATAACTTAGTGGTACAGTAGCAATTCAACCTAGAGAGTGTACAGTGGTGGTCATATACAGATTTTTACAGAGTAGAGCACCATTGTAGTAACACAGGCAAGGTGAAAAACTTGGAAATGCAAATATGCAGACTGGAAAGAACTTACTGATAAACTGATGGTTGCATCAACAGTGAAACAATGCTGCTCCTGGGGTTTAGATTCTATATGAGACAGAGTAATATTTCTTTTAGCATTCTCCTGGCTTGTGTAATTCAGAATTGAACCTTGTTTCTTGCTCTCAGTTTCACCATAGGAAACTTGCTGGACTCCAAACTTGTGCAAGTTGCTACTTTTTTAGGTGGTTTATTTGTTTGTTTTGGTTGGCTTTTTTAGCAGAGACACAGCCACTTTGTTCCTCATTCTCTGTCCTGTACCTTTTCCTCACATTTACTATACAAAGAAGTATGGTTGATAGGTATTGGAATAATGAAAAATCTCAAATACCATTTACAGATCTGCTTTCGAATTTTTTTTTTTTTTGAGACTAGAAGTGTGATCTGCAAGATTTAAATTGTATTATGTAGGTGTAAATTTAAGCTTTAGGACTAGCAGGTTCAGCTAAATGACTTCTGTTTTGGTTTTGTTTTTCTCTAAAAGAAAATGAACTTCTTTCAATGTTCCTTTTTAGGTCACCTACTATGGCTGGAGGCCTGTTTGCAATGGATCGTGAGTACTTTAATGAACTTGGGCAGTATGACAGTGGCATGGACATCTGGGGAGGAGAAAATCTGGAAATATCTTTCCGGGTAATCTACCTTTTATGTGCATTGGAGTGTGAAAGTTGGTGTCTGGCTGCTTCTCTTGCCTATGTGCAGCTTCTCTTTCCTATGTACTGTTTCTTTTGTGCTGGAATAGCTATTTGCACACAGAAATTGGCACTTCTCTTCCCAGGAAGGATGCCTTTCAGAACACCATAACTGCTTTAACAATAATCTTCAAGTTAAGCTTTAATGAGAAGATTAAAGAGAATTTTGAGCTCTGTAGTTACATGTTTGTAGGTTTTTCTGTGTTTGGTGGAGCATTTCATAATACCTATAGAGAGTCATGAGAAAAGAGTAATCATGCAAATTTCTGAAAGGAGTTCATAAGCAATGTCTAATGAATTTTATGTCAGTTAAAAAGACATGTGGCTCACAGCAGCGTTGAGAATAAGTAAGCTTATTATCTTTCCTTAGTCATGTATAGGCCTTTTCAGATACTTCAGCCTCCTTTTTGAGAGCCTGGAAATGTAAATTTTTTTTGTAACCAAATTAAAGGCCCTGCAGAGGAGTCAGCTTGGTTGGAAAAATTATGAAAGTCACAATCAGGAGATTTGAAAATGACACTTCATTGGACTTCCTGTTCTTTATCTCATCTTTCCTGTCACTCCACTGAAAGAAAAACAACTTTTTGTGCTCATTGCCATGTTTACCTTTTCAGTTTTTATAAAGTGGATTCATCAACAGGTTTGACAACAGTGCCTGAAAACAATATGCTAGCATAACAGTTATGAAAAGGGATTAAAAGGTGAAGATAACATTAAAACAAACAAACCAAACACAACCCCCAAAACTTGAGAGGAATTTGTCAAATTGGGTCATTAGAGAAATCAAGATTAGAGTTTAAATGTAAGGACTGGCATTTCATAAGTTTGTGACTATTTACTGAATAAAGTCTTTGAAGTTTTGATTATAAAATATAAGTATTAGATCTCTGAGTAGAAGTGCATGGGGTGCAAGGAAATCATTGTTACTGTGTAATGCAGTTTCAATAAAAAGGGCTTTGAGAAATATTTGGAGAGCTTTATAACATCTGGGAGCCCTAGTCTCCCTGGGGGCAGAGTTGTAAAGTTTAGTCTTTATCCAGGAGGAGTTTTAAAAGTGACTTGCTAATGTAAGCTCCTGACACTGGAGAGCATGTTAGCCCAACAAAGGGCCAATGATGATAATTTGCTGGAAGCTGAAGTTTAAAAAGAGATTTGAAAAAAAAATAGAGTGTAAATGATATCTAGATCTGGGGTGCAGTATTAGAAAGCATGACATGTAGGATCTAATCCCATCATAATGTATAAGCCTGCCTAAGTATGAAGAGGGGGAGGAGGTAGTGAGCCTTGTCAGTATGCGTATAATGAGGTATGTTCTGCTTTTGTATGGGCAGATCTGGATGTGTGGTGGTAGACTTCTGATCATCCCCTGCTCCAGGGTTGGACACATTTTCCGGAAAAGGCGTCCCTATGGCTCACCAGGGGGACAGGACACCATGGCTCATAACTCCCTGCGGCTAGCACACGTGTGGATGGATGAATATAAGGTAAGAGACAATTCCAGGCATCCTGGTTTCAGCTGGGATAGAGTTAACTTTCTTCCTAGCAGCTGGTGCAGAGCTGTGTTTCAGCTTTAATCTGAGAGCAATGCTGATAACACACTCATGCTTTAGTTGTTGCTCAGTAGTGCTTACCCTGATCAAGGACTTTTCAGTCTCTTGTGCTCTGCCAGTGAGGAGGGGCACAAGAAGCTGGGAGAAAGCAGAGACAGGACACCTGACCCGAACTAGCCAAAAGGGTATTCCATACCACAGCGCATCATGCCCAGTATAGAAAGTGGGAGGAGTGGGTGAGCAGCTGTGTGGTGTTTGGTTGCCAGTTGGGGTTAAACCACAGCACTAGGTCATGAAATAAGGTTATTAACTGGCTTGTTTTTCAAATGACTGTATTATCATAGTGGGATTTGTTAGCACCTCTAATGGGGTCTTCCTTCTATACTCTGATTTCCTAATGTTAATTTTGCTCTGAATTCCTAAGTTCTGTGGGGTTCTTGTTTGGCTTTTGAGTGCTCAGGTCTCTTCCCTGCTACTTCTCCTGTGCCTTTTTAAATGAAGACAAGTGAGTTCTTGTAAGCTCTGCATTGCTCTGTGTCCAGATCAGTATTCTGTGGGAGCCATATACTGCTATATGCCTTCAGGTAGTTTCCATGTTGGTGAGACGGGGATTTTGTTGGTTGGCTATATGCTTTCTGTTTTAATTAGAAGTTTGATTCTTAGACTGGCTTGCCCTCAAAGATCAATCAGGATTGACTTCTGGATTCAAGGGCGAGTGTATTCCTTCTTTGTCTTCAGATGTTGGTACTGATCTTGAATGTAGGTCAGATTTTTGTGAAGCCCTCATCTCTGATACTTGAGGACATACTGCCATGAGAGACCATAGGATTTGCCATGCGGCTCTTCCTGTGCTCCCTCAATTTCTATACAAGACATATTGTATAAACTTTCTATTCTTTAGAGGTTTATGTTTCAAACCCTGTCATTTATCTTGATGTTCAGTCAGTTTGAGCAGCCTATTAAGGGTCGTTAATTCTCATCTCCATTCTCCATCTCCATAATGTATTGGTAGATCTATCAATTTCTCTTTTATTGTGCCTGGGCTCAGTTGTCTTGTGATTAATGACGGCTTTCTCTGAAGCTTGGAATTGATTCTTTGTAATAATTTCCAGCTAACACTGCTTTGTCCAGCAAGGACTGAAACTGCTGATTCTAGCAGGCTCTTATCACAGATTTATGTCCTGAATGTTTCCAGCTGTTTCTTATCTAATTCTCTGGTAGTTGCCAGATACTGTCATTATGAGAGATCTATGTATGCAAGGCAAGCCTGGAAATACTTCTGTTTTTATAAGCATAATGCAACATTTAGGGCCAATTTAGTTTACTGAAGTGATTGTATGGTGAGTAGTATAAAGATAAGACATGACTTGTTTTGCAGCAGAGCAAAAGTCAGTATTTAATAAATAAAATTGCATAATAGAAGGGAAGCAGCAACATTTTCATAAGTGTCAAAAGCTAAATGTAAAATGAGTAAGTTCAGGTATACAATGGAGATAAATAATGCAGAAAAGGTAGGATACTAACCTTTGAACTTTAACCAGGAAAGAGGCAGTGGGAATATCAGAGCTACTTTTTTGAAGCAGGCCAGTTTGATAGTGATGTCCAGTCTATCTCCAAAATTCCTCAGAGTTGCCCAACAGTCCAATGTAATTAATGCTTCTCCTTTCTCTCCTACTAAAATAGCAGTGATGCTTCAAGCACATCCAAATGCTCAAAGGTCTGGATAAGGACAGATGTGTAATTCATCTTGAGATGATGCTCTATGTCATCTGAATATCAGAGATAGCAGTAGGTAATTGAAAACTGTCAGAGCCACATTGTGCTAAGTAAATTCCAGATGTCTACTAGAGATTAATCCAACAAAATGTTACGGCTCAGTGCCTTGAAAACTGATTTCCAAGTAATATCTAGTAAAAGAGTTCATGTGCAAAACATATTTTCTATCAGCTGTGTAAATCTAGCTGGAAGCAAAGACTCTACAAGGGGATTTTCTTCTAGTTTTGGCAGTACTGTTCACTCCACATTGTACATTCATGAATTCCTGTTTGTCCCCATTGTTTCTTTATTAGAGTTGAACATAATACTTAGCTGGAATTTTAATCTGTCCTTGTCTAAACAGGTACAATTCTAAGTATAATCATAAATTAGAACATGAAAAAATTACACTGTGGAAGTCTTTCTGGAGATGATACAGGTGAAACACTAGCAAAACAAAATGAAACTTTGGGTGTTTTATGAACAGGAAAAGTTGGAAATCAATAACCTGAAAATTCTTCTCCCTTTGTCCCCAACCTGTTCCTCTTCAATACAGGAGCAGTATTTTGCTTTGAGGCCTGAGCTAAGGATGAGGAACTATGGAAATATCACTGACCGTATAGAACTGAGGAAAAGATTGAACTGCAAGTCATTTAAGTGGTATTTAGATAACATCTATCCTGAGATGCAAGTATCTGGACCCAATGCCAAAGCTCCGCAGCCAGTATTTATTAATAGAGCACAGAAACGACCGAAGATAATCCAGCGTGGAAGGGTAAGAGAAATTTTCTCAAAAATACAGAATTCTGTTTTTTCTGTTATTCTGAGATTCTTTCTGACAGACTTGCTCAAATACAAGAAAAAAAGTTTGTTTCCATAGAGCATGGACTTCTAGGTTTGCAATAAGCTGTCTTGAAAAATAACAGGATCTGTGCCTTTATAGAAGGGCAAATGAGTTTCACTCTGATCTGTATCTCAGGTCATCTTTAGACTAGATACTCTTCAGTGAGGTTTCTTACCTCAAAGCTCTGAGTTACGAAGTTTTGATGTCTTCAGAATGTGCTTTCATGACTGTTGGTTCTGAAGATGGATGTGGATAGAGAAATTTGGCCTCAGATATTCATGCTCTGTGATTTATGATAAGAGTACAATGTAATTAGTTTCCAAACTCATTGCTTTTACTGGATAATTTTCTGCAAAGATGAACATTTGCATTTGAGACTGATGCTGGCATTTCTAGTCTTGACTTTTAGATAATGAGTTTTGCTCCTTTTTTCTTCAAAGTGGAAGAGAGAAATTTTTATGTGTATTCATGAGGGAAATCATGATTAAATTCATTAAATTAGCGCTGACACCTATGTTTTTGGGTGTGTATGCAGACAAAGGCAACATACAGTTGCATCTGTTCTCTTCAGGGCCAGATTCATCCGACACATCCTTTTTATGCTTCCTGAAAATAATGGATAACTTCAAACCTAAGACAACTTTTTCAAGGTCATCACTTTCAGAGAGACCTTTGAATACACCATTTAAAGTGTAGGTAGATTATGGCTAGCAGATTCCCTTCTAGCTCAATAATTGGAAGCATTAAATAGTGATGTAGCCCTCTCCACAAGGTAAGACAGGCTGCAGTAGCTGTTGACAGTCCTCAAAGCAGATTTAGGCTGGAGGACCTATTGACATTGTTAGATTTTTTTGATTGAAAGCAGGGATCTGAGAATCCACAATTTGTGTAGTATTTTTGTAATAGGATCCCAGCCAAGCAGTAAAGTTATTTATTAGGGCAAATGAGTAGTTTACCTGAATAAAGCTGATATAATGGGCTGATTCCCCTGGTTGTTGAATGCTGTTATTCCCCATGGCAGACTTTTAATAGCTTTCTGCTTTCATTCAGGCAGAAGTTTAACTATGGAATTGCTGACATGGGGGATGCTACTTGAGGGCTCTGAATCCCTCAACAACACTTAAAGGGAAATCTTCCTAGCATTAATTTCCCATGGTTTTATGTGGAAAAAAAGCTTTGTGTACCCTTTAAGAAGGGGGGAGAAGACACAGAAAAATGGAGTTCCTTGGCTTGGTTGTCTGGGTTTCAAGAATTATACCCGGCATTGTATAAGAGTCAGCTTTGGCTCTGATGATTGTATAAACTATTTCCAGATGCCTACAAGGAACAGAACGATCAGCCAATGTCACCATTGCATGCCAGACTCTTTAGGATTTGGGATGAGTCACTCCAAGTCTCAGCTTATTTTCAAAAACTAATTGGGCCAGAGATGAGTGCTGGTTTGACAGCTGTGAAGAGCTGTAATGATCAAAAACTGTGACAGATTTTAGCAGTGTTATCAAATGCTGATCATTATGGCCAATAAAAACAAGGACAAAAATCATATAAAGCTCATGTAGCTTTATGGTTTGAAAGCCTTCTGTTGAGTGAGGAATGATGAAAATGAGATCTGTCCTAGATGTCTCTGGGGTGTGAGGAAATGTTACTTAGAAGCTTTTGTATAATTTGTTTCAGATGTGTGTATGGAATAGAAGCAACATGGTGCGCTTGAGGAGGTGGCTGATGTGCCTTGGGACAGCTATTTCCAGAAATGGAGTTTAGTGAGGAATATTGTTCAGTATTTGTACTCTCAAATTTATATACCAGCATGTGGTGGAGCAGTTCTTTCTTTTCATTACTGGAAGTGGCTTTTGATTTCTAGAAATCGGGAGAATCAGTTGAAATTCCAAGACAGCTATGTATGTCTTCATAATAAAATGCAGCCAGCTAATGCATCAGCCTGGTCTTGAGTTCAGCACAGCAAATTATTTTTTCCCTTTATATTCAGTTCCATATTGGAATTAATTATTTTTAATGTGGATGCCAGATCTGGGGCTCTGCCATCTCCCACACATGCGCACACCCATTGACTGTCAAATGCACTCCCGTGCACTTTGTATTTAGGTAATTCCGTCTCCTTTCTCAAAGAGATGGTAGTGTTTCATGAAGAGAGGCCTTAGGAGGAGACTTCTATTTAAACTAAACCATAGTAAAATGTAGCTTATACAGTACAGTTGATATTCCTCAGCTAATGAGTATTTGGTACCTGTGACTTTCATGGAGAGTGGAGAGGGGAAAGAAATTTGTCGAGAGTATGACCAGCATGTGCTGAGCACTTGTACCATAGAGAGAGAAATCTTGATGTAATTGTGAGTTGGTTTTGGTTTTTGGTGGGGATTTTTTGTGAGCACACTAACTTCTAGGGCTTCCAAAGCATTACCATATGTTCCTTTTGGTTTGTGACATTATTTGTTTACTGCATCCGTCAAACTGTTTTCCTTTCATAGCTGTATCACCTTCAAACCAACAAATGCCTGGTCGCGCAGGGCCACCCAAGTCAGAAAGGAGGCCTGGTAGTGGTTCGGGAATGTGACTACAACGATCAAAACCAGGTATGAGATTCCTGATTGTACTGAATAGTGACTCACATCTTGAAAATTGCTAATACGTTTTCCTGTTGACAAAATGCCTTAGTACAACATCTTATCAGCAGGCAGGCTAATGCCAGAGTATCATTCAAACAGCAAGGCTGGCCGAGGAGTCTGTGGAGCTTACTGTTCTGTACCCTACTAAGGCTGAGTGTTGGATATTATAATCTCTTTATAGCATGAATCTCAGTATGTGGCTGAGACTGTCCTTAAGTGGCTTCCGACAGGATCATAATCCACTGATTAACACTTCAGAATTCGTAGAAACTCTTCAGTCAGTTCCTCATACTGGGATTCAAGGCAGCCTTTTCCTGGCTTGCTGTTCTTTGTGTATTGTACAACTAGTCCTATGCTGCTGGATTGGCTGTAGTTTGGGGTGAATTAATGATATGTTATCATCATTAAATAGAAGGAAATCTAAGGAATTTAGAAAATTCTTTGGCTTCCGGTGAATTGCTGATCTGGGGATTAATTGGGGATGGATGTGAAAATTCTAATGAGAGTTTTTGTATTACTATATAAAGCCTTTGGTATTCCACCTCTATTCTTCAGGCAACAGAAGTTCTGGAGCTCGATAAACAGTCTCCAGGGTAGAAAGATCTTCACCTAATGCCATAAAGCTTTTACCTAGCTAAGAACTATATTGGGAACGTTATGATTTAGGAGCCTATGGGACCCAGGTTTAAAAGCTATATCATATCTAAAGAGGAAAGTAATCAAAGACACAAAATAAATGGAGTATGGGATATAATGCAGCATAGTAGCTTTACCAAAGGTAGGTTGTGCTAGACTAATTAGGTACTTTATGAAATGGGCAGTAGTTTTCAGGGTATGGAAAGGGCAGCAGTAGAAGCAGGATGCTTTATGATAGTCCCAAACAAGAAGTTGTGTGCTTTATCAACTCATGGGACTTTCTGCCTCCTATCTGTGGCCTCACCAGTTGAATGTGACAGAAGGAGATGGCATGAGGGGTGTTAGCCGGTGTCTGGGTAAGTGTGATTGGCACTAGACACATGGTCTCCAATTGTCACTTAAGCAGGATGAAGCAATACATCCCTTCGCTTTGCCTCTGGAATACTGAGTAATCATTGTTATGACCAAATTTTAGGTCCTTGTGTTAAAGGTGGATGAATTTAAGTTGGAATGGGAATGAGTTTTCCTATGTGATCTCTTCCATTAGCTGGAAGAAAGACAGCAAGTCTTGTAAATGTACAGACTGTGTAAATGTAATAGTAACTGATTGGCACCAGTGACTCTACATTTGCAGTGCCAAAGGTGCTGTGCTGCTTTCTGAGCCATTCAGTCTGTGAAGAGTGAGAGAGCAAAAATAACTGCCTGTGGATGATGTCCACAGTAAGAACAGATGGATCCTCATAGTTACTGTTTCCCTCCTCCTTCCTGCCATATTTTAATAGTCAACTGCACGTGGCTGGAGGAGAAAGTCTGTTGTTTTTCCTTATCAAAACCTTTTTCTGTTTCTCTTTCCTTCTGGAAACAGAAACTTCAGTTAGCCTTTTGGTATTGGGAAAGACAACTTAGTGCTCGGATTGTTGCTCTTTGGCTTCTTTACGCATGACTTTAGTTTATTAGTGGTAAATTAAGCAATTAGTTCTCATAAAAAAAAACCTGGCTGTACTGTCTTCTTTCACAGCAGTTTTGTTCTCCAACCAAGTATGTTATCCAGCACTATGGTTTTATGCCACTAGACTTATTTTGTTCTAATAAATCCCAAGAGTGCATTCAGCCAGCTTGCTTTCATATCCTCTTGAACAGTCTTGCTATAGTTACATGGGAACAATGTAGAGAAAGACAACACTTATTTAACAGCTTCAGTTTATAAAAATAACAAGAAACTTTCTGAGTATTGAAGGCTTTTATCTGTTGTTTGTGGTAACACTCAACCCATTGGGATTTTCAGCTGATTTTTGCTCTAGAACCATCTGTTTTATGCCTTTGTCCTAATAAGAAAGCTCGTGTTGGGTCTGGTGAAATGCAAGTACCTAGCTACCCCGTTCTCTTACGGCCACTGGCATCAAGTTAAGTGCGTGTTGCTTAATACACAGCACAGAGAGTTACTCTGGAAGATGACAATCTGTACTTTGTGAGCAGTATTTTTGTGATGATTTAATGTTTTTTACTGAGCCAAAGATGGCATTTCTGTAGGATTTTGCCTTTTCAGGAGTGTGTGGTTGTATTTTGACCTCCTGTAAGCTTTTGGCATCCTGTGGCAGCTTTCTGTGAAAATAATTTGATGTCACTTGAGCCTGATTTCATTTGATGACAGTGAATTTCTCTGAGGTACAGGAGTAAGTTATCACTGCTTATCTCTTTCCAAGCTGCTTTTGCTCTGGAATAGGTAACACCCTCCCTTGGAAAATACATATTGAAGGAGCAAGTTGCAGTCTACCTGGGAAAACTGCGAAGAACTGGGAAGACAAAATGGGGCTCCCTTAAAACTCATTGATTGCAGTTCTTTTGGTTGGAAAATAATCTTCTGTGTAATCTCTTAACTGGAAAATAACCCTTTGTGCAATATAGATGGTTCATGCATGTGAGAGCTGATGCTGAGAGGTGGGTGTGTGAGGAAACCAGGCTCACTGAAGTCATGCGATTGGCCTCCCAAGCAGATCTGTTTTGCCTTTAGTTAATGTTTGCTATGTTTTCTATAGCCTTCATGGCTGCTAAGAGGTTTCAAATTCTCACTTCTCAATTTAAAAGAAGTAACAGCTGTTATATAACTGTGTTGCATCACCATTATGGGTAATGCTTTCAGTTGAAGTTGACTTAGATGATCATCATTAAGTGAAGTTAAAAATTACCCAAGCACATCAAACTATCCTGTTTTCTAGGACTTGACATGACAGTGACATTCAGTTTGTCTTTTTGCTATAGGAATTAGGGAATTAGCAATTAAGGAAATGGTTCTCACAAAGGTAGTGCATCTAGAAAATACTTCTAAAATGTTCATCCTTAAATTAGAATGAAAACCAGGACATTTTCTTGTGAAAAATAATCTGGGGCTAATACTGGTGACTGAACACATTTAGGAATAGGTGATGAAGGTTTTGTAGTTAGAAATAACACAAGTAGAGGAGGTGAACAGGGTCTTATAGGACGAAGGTGAGTGCAGAGACATCTAACATAACTCAAGAAGGAGAAAAATTGATTGTGAATTTTGCAAGCAGAAGACTAACATGGAATGAGAAGCTTTGTAGTTGGAAGAGTGGTCATGTGAAGAAATTGCCACTATTGCCAAAGGAAACACTCTCCTGAACTTCATTTGTGTGTCTGACCTCTTTCTGGAAACCAAACTGAGACTGTGCACAACTTAGTGCATGTGACGAAAGCTTTGGTGTTGAAGGATGATTGAAAAATACTTTAGTGTATTAGAGGATCATCATGAAAGACTGAAGATGTCTGAAAAGTGGAACTAACAAGCTATGGTGTAGCTTCTGCCCAACACCATCATGCCAAGGTTAATCAGGTGGTGATTAGGGGACAAAGGTTCTGAAGCAGGCCTTGGGCTAGATCCTGCCCTAAAGGAGGAGGAGGAAATGTAGTTACTGACAGGCTTGGAAGAGAAGCATTAAAAAACACTAAAAAGGAAGATTTTGGAATGAAGCACAGTGGCGAACACAGGGCTAACTAGTGGGAGTGTTTGTGATCTAACAGCTAAAAAAAGATTGGGTTTGTCATGTAGCTAGTGTGTGCCTACCTTCCCTCTGATCTAAATGTTAAAGCCAAGTTCCTTGTCCAAAACATTTCGTCAAGTCCACGAAATAATGTGGGTTTTTTCAACTGTTTGTTTTCAAATACACTAGGTTGACCCTTAAACTTTACTTTCTGTGTTGTTATAACCTCTCCTTTGTATGTTTACTTCCATTCAATAATTTAACTTTTCTCTTACTTAGCAATATATTGAGTTTTAAAAATGTGGCTTGCCATTCCAGCTGGGGATGGTACTGAAGTGTCTAAGCAAGGGCATCTGTGCTCTGGGCCTTTAAGAGATAACTGATTTGAACAGGGAATTCCAGAAAAGCTCTGCTAACGTTCTTTCAGCACTTCATAAATGTAAGAATGTGTACTTCACAGACTGTTCAAGAGTCTGTCTGGAAGGATGTGCTCACACGCGCAGTTCTTCTGCGAGATCTTTCTCCTTAGACCTCTAGATCATGGCTGTTAGTTCACTTTTCTGATACAACTCAATGAGTGTGAGGACACCCAAGTAAGTTTGCTTGTTGCTTTTCCATGAACTACTGAAGGAACACAGTTCTTTGGTCCCTCTAACAATTATGAAACATCATCAACACACTAAACTGACGCAGAAGCATGTATCTGCTTTGCAACAGCCTTCAGGGGGACATTGGGTTTTCAGGGTAGCAATGGCTTAAAATAATGATTACAGACCACCAAACTTTGTGGTTTCTGATGATTTTCACAAGTCACTTGGTGCTTTGATGTCATCATTATCCATAATAACAAGAGCTGAAGTATATATATAAATAGTTGGGATGATGCAAATTGCTAGGCACATCTCTTCCACAGTGCTGAGGCAGCTTTTTTGTGCTCTTAAGCTGAATTTTTCTCTTTTAGAAACTGCCTGACAGAACAATACAGTTGTGCCAATCCAAGCAACAGATTGTAACTGATGAAAGTACTGGAATGCTTCTCCTGTCGGCATGGTTCACGGCAGGGATTTTCTCTCACACAAAGGGCTGTTTCAGTAGTGGTTATTGTCTTGTATTTACTGAGAATTTTCAGTGCATTCCTCTAGTGCTAATGTAATTTGCAGACCAAATGGGGGTGTATATCCACACAGCTTTGCCAGTTGGCCAGCCATGCCTTTTGCTACACTCCACTGCACTCTGAAAGCCAAAGGGCAGGCTGATGCTTCCTGCTTTATTTCATGTAATTTGAAATGTTTATTCTCTAGGAACAGTGAGCTTCCCTTTTCTACCTACTACAGAGCCTTTGATTTACTGTTTTTCCCTTGGTTGGGTGATAGGTTTTGTTTTAACACAGTTGTCTGTTTTGACAGTGGACTCAATTCTTTAATGGGTACCTCTGTTTTTTCCAGAGGAAATGGTGATATGTGCCGCCCTTCTGGATGATGAGGCACCATTTGAGCCCTTTCCTCACTTGAATTTCCTCTGAAGTACCTCAGCGAGCTGTTACCTGTTTACATTAAGTAATCTCACTGTAGGAATAATACCATGTTTCACCAGGGGAAAAAAAAAAAGAACTTCAGTAACACAGCCCCGTATCTCTTTGTGATAAAAAACAATCCCGGGGGATCACTGGGATATATTGGTTTATGGAGGGAGTGAAGAGCATGCCTCCTTTATCAACAGTGGCAACCTGAAACCAGTCAGGAAATCCAAATGTTGATAAAAGGAGAGAGCTAAAATCTCCCCTATCCAGTCTTCAGCAATGTCACACTGCTGTCCTTGCAAGGAGTTGAGCTGTAGTCCTCACTGAAACTCCTCATTAACTGTGTATGAGGAGAAACTGTTCCTACCTGCTTGTTTGTACATAGATAAGATTAATGAAGTCATCAGTCAGTCCTGGTGCAGGCTGGGTGATTTGTTGCTGTCCTATTGGGGTGAAGGATAATCCTGAAGGTACTAGAAGCCCTAGGAAACCTCAGTCTTCAATCTGTAAATAGTTTGAACTGCTTTTTGAAGGGCCTAAATTCAAAATCCAGTTCTTCCTAAGCTACACCTGCATTAAAAAAATACTTATGCTAACAGAGTTTGTATCTCCTCCTATTTATTTTTGGCCGTGAAACCTTCTCTGGCACATGTTATGCATCTCTTTGAGGTGACTGGAAGGATACCTGCACTGGCTGTGTTCTAGAAATAAGGATGCTTACCCCAGATCTGTGGGTCCCATTTCTGCTGTGGGAAAGTTGCTGTGGTCTGGGTGACTTAAGCACAAGCAGGACCTCTGTGCCCCTGTGACCAATGGTGATGGCAGTGACTGATGGGTGGGAGGCTTGGGCAGGCATCTGAGCGCTACCACGTCTGAACTGCTTTGCCTGGGGGAAGACCTCTAAGTGCTCTGGGGACGTGTAGGATCTTGGCAGGGTCAGCCAGCAGCTGAATGGGCCACTGCACTCTGATATTGAAGGGGTCCTTTGGCACCTTTCCACCGCCAACAGGGTAAGATTTCCCTCTTATCCTGCTGCCTGTGTTAACAGGCAGGGAGAAGAGAGCTGCTGGAAAGAGACCAATCCTGCAGCATTCATCAAATTAAGTAATTTATTTAACCCCAAACTTCTTCAATTTCATTATGGAGAGAGGTTTTTCCATAACATCTGCTATTTAGGTAATTTGAAAACAGAAACAATTCACTGTATTCTACTTGCATCCCAGTGTTTTTCTTTGGCTCCAGTGAAAACAGTGATTTTCCTTATGCTTGTGGAGCAGATCAGTCATTACCATGCGTCTGTTGGGGACAGCAGTTAAAGGTGCCGGTTTTCTGTGTGGTGGGAGCTGGGCATAATTCCATTTTCAGAAGCTGAAATCTGACAGGGATGCTCTCCCGGGTGTTAGGAAGTGGATGCAGAATGAAAATTTCTGCACCTCGTCTGTTCCCTTTTTGTTTTAAATACAATTAATATTTAAAATGGCATTTATTGTAGAACACACACAGGAGGATAAAATAAGACACC